CACATATCTATAGATCTACATCTAAATCTATATAGATTTATATATCTATATTTACAGCTGTGTATGTATGTCCCAAAAGTCCCAGTGCAGTTTTAAGCTTAAACTTTTGGAAGTTTTGAGATACCATACCCTGTACTAACACATGGTACAGGAGGAAAACAGATTGAGATAACTTTGTTCACATATAAAATTTCTTGTGGGAGGAGGCAGAGGGTAATGGGTTGAAATCCTAGCCCTGCTACTTACTATGTTTGTGAACTTGGGCAAGTACTTAAACCTTTCTGGCCTCAGTTTCCTCATCTGCAAAATCAGTAGCTTGGACTGGATAAGCTCTACAGGCCCTTTCATTTCTAGATCTATGATCTTATGATATGTTGCAGGGAGATGAACTTGAAAGAATCCCGCTGATAAAGATCAATGGGCACATCTTGAGATCCTGACTTCATTTAGGTATGGGTTTCTTCTGATTCAGAAAGCATTTTAGCTATTACTTTGTTATTGAGAATTTTGGAAACAGTAATCAAATATCCTTTTCTTTTTACTCTCATTAAAATAATGACAGTGAGGAGGTGCAGTGGGTAGAGCGATGCCTGGAGTTAGCAAGACTCATCTTCCTGAGTTAGAATCTGGCCTCTGACCCTTTCAAGCTCTGGGCCAGTCACTTAATGCTATTTTCCTCAGTTTTCTCATCTGTAAAATGAGCTGGCAAGGGAAATGGTAAGCCACTACAGTATCTTTGCCAAGAAAACCTCAAATGGGGTCACAAAGAATCAGACAGGACTGAACAACAACAAGCAAAAATTAGTCTATTACTAATTTTAATCAATAACTAATCATTACTATGAAATGGTATATAGCATGAGGACCCCATGATTTGCTCTTGTGTTAGTCAATAATAAGTCGTTAGTAATTTTTTAGTCTCTCTCCTTCCCTTTCCTCTTTCTTCTTCTCCCCTCCGTTCCCTTTCCCCCATCTTTTTTTTTCTCCCTGTTTTCTTCTTAGAAAAAAAGAAACTAAATTCACTGCAAATAGCTTGTGACAGATGCCAATTGATGACACAATACTTTTTTTTAATGGTTATCACAATAAAAAGACTTTATTAACCAACTATAAACCTTATGCACATTAATTTCTTATGCTTACAAATTATTCACCAAAACATTATAATACTTGACAAGTAATTCAATATAAGAATTAGACTTGGCCCTTACTCAGAATAATTTTCTATGTTATATCAACCTTACTATTCTAGTATCTGATTCTCTGCTTCATTTTATTCAATTCTGGCACATTGCTAGGCCTAAATTAGGATTGTTGCTCTTACTATGTAAGAAGTTAATTTAATTACGTGGTCTTAAAAATGGAGTGCTGGAATTTAGGATGTCAGCTGGAATTTAGAGTGAACAAAATTAAAGTCATCACATCTGAGAGCTGGCCAGCATTTATTTTTAACCTTCCTTTTATTTGTCTGGTTCTCAATACTAAACTGCCCCTTGGCAATTTCACGTGTGACTTCTGAGTATGGAGGCCCCTTTGAACCTGCTTAGAGCTTTGTGTACGAAAGTGTCATTCACAGGAAGCTATAACATTGAAGTGTGAGAATCAAGCTGTTGTATCAAGAATGTCACAGATGTGGATTTGGGAGCTGGCATTAAAATCCTGCGTTTTAGATCTGGTAAAGGCCAGAAGTACTGTTTTGGGTTCTGTAATATTCATGACCCTTAAAAAGATGCTTAACACTTATTCAGAATAATAGAAATAAGAATGAACTATTTACATTAATTTATGGGAAAATACAAGTTATGGAAGTACCCATGACCCTTTTAATCACTTTGGGATATTTTTCTTTTTTGTTCCTGTGTTTGTTCAAGGCTAGTAAACTCAGGATCCTTTTTTGATTTATTCATAAAAACATATGAAATGTGCTTTGGGAAACTGCCTGAAACCAACATAGGAAGGTTCCCATTTAGCTTTAAAATTTAAGTGGGTATAGAGATTGTTTGATATAAATTCTTCCACTGTCTTACAAATATTTGAGTTTTGGAATTCTTTTTAAAAAGTGTTTTTTTATATTAGGTCTGGGGTTTATTTTCATGTGTGATAATGAGTTCTGATATACTCATAGGTGTCTGGTCCTATATAGTTGGCAAAACTGGGGGGTAGGGGAAGGAAGGAAAGGCCTGAACTTTCATTTTTTTTTATTACTGTACAGATTCTGTGATACATATGAAAACAAACATTTCACATATGAGTCTTTTTGTCCTTCCTCTCTATTTTCTCCTCTGTGAATCTTGCTGAAAATCTTCAGGATTGGACTCCCTACAGCCAAAAGGAAAAAGGTACAACAAATCTTTCTGGTTTGTGCCATAGCCAAGGGGATGAGTCTTGGGTGAAGATAGAGATTTATATTTCTACTTTGAAATAAAGAGGGCATTTTTTTTTTACCTTAGCTCTTTCTGGTAATTTCCAATGAGCTCTTTTAGCTTCTGTGAAGGTTGAGTATGCCTTGCAAATGTGTAGATGTGAAGCATGGGTATTTTAGGACTTTTGGTCCCCAATGTTGCATGCTAGTATTTCTTATGGTAGCATTTCGGCCATGTGTCCATAGTATTAAGACAATAATGATGCCTTCATAATTTAGACCTTTAAGAGCAGAGGAACCCTCCAATTTTTCAATATTAGACATTTTCCCCCATATATTACAAGGCATGACATATTCCCATGTTTATAAAACCAACAATATTTCAAAAAGTTATACCAATCAAACAATTAAAACAAGAATAATACACTTGCTTATGAAACATGAACATGAGTACAGACTTCCTGTCTCCTGGGACCTGTGAGCAGCAGTTCTGAAATAACTACATTCTATCTAACCCACCACAAAATGTTATGCATTGAAAACAATTCTAGAGCAATTGTATAACTATTTAAAGCTCTTAACACTTAGAAAATTCACTCATAGCTTCAGCTCATATTGCTCCAAAACAAGAATTGAAATTTTGAAGTCACTCAAATGTTCTTGGAGAAATAGGCCGTGGCTTGTCATGGAAGACTTGCTCTCATTTAATTCTTCTTGGTTTTGTTTCTCTTGGGCTGAGGGGAAGAAAGGAAAAGACTGAACTTTGCTGACATGCAAGAGATCATTATTTTACAAGGACTTCTTAAAAAATCTAATTTAGGGTTTCTTAATCTGGGGTCTGTGAACTTTTAAAAACAAACTTTTAGATAATAAACATTTAAAATTAAAATTTAATTTTAAAAAAATTTAAATTTAAATTTTAAATTAAAAAACAAACTTTGAAACAAAAAAAAACCCCTTTTAATATAATTGGTTTCCTTTGTTCTTTAAGTATTTTATTTTATGCATTTAAAACCATTGTTCTGAGAAGGGGTCCTAGGCATCACCAGAGTGCTGGAGGGGTACAGGACCCAAAAGAGGTTAAGAACCCTTGATCTAATTGGATTGGGGGGAACAAAAGGCCCACTGCTTCAAGTTCAAGTACTACTTTCCAGTGATCTTCTTCACCTTGTATCTATTTTTCACATGCCTATACACATACGAGTTGTCTACCCTGATAGAATGTAAAGGGCAAGGACTGTTTCACTTTGACTTTGTATCCCTAGTTTCTAGCTCAGTATCTGTCACATAGTAGGAGCCTAATAAATGCCCACTGATTGATTAAATCATTCTAAACTTTATTTGATTCCAATGCACTGCTTACTTGATGAGACAAAAAAATTGGTAGCATCCTTTATTTAAGTAGAAGAGTGGATCCCATGGATAAATTGTGCTCTTGAAGAATTATATTGAAAATTTGTCACTGTTCTGTGATGGTTTTCAGGAAAAAAAGTCTGTAAATAATGTCTTAGCTAGGAAAATAAATGCTTCTTAAAGAAGAGTTCTCATCTTTGTCTGTGGGAATTAGATTGTGCACCAATTCAGCCACGTAGCAGAGGAAAACTCTGTATGGGAGACAGGTTGTTTTGTTTCCTTTTCTCAGTCCTCATTTGCATGCATTTGAATGGTTAACAAATGTGGAAATTACACTCATTTTCACTTGGCTGAGTTCCCCGCTTCTGTGTTAATATCAATTCTAATATTTTTCAGCCTGACTTTATAATCATTCTTCCTTTGAGCTCAAATAGCATTTGTTTCTGCCAAGGAGTTGCATACGTGTGTACTTTTCATATGTGTATTATTCCTTCCTTGGTTCTCAGTTTGTGAACAGAATGTGTTTTTAAGCCCTTATGATAGTAGAGCCATAATTTCTCCCATAAAATTTTCTCCGTATTTTGAGGGCCAAAAAAAGTCTACATTTAATGATGATATGGCGCTTTCATGCCTACAGATTGTGAAAGAGCTCTCTGTGGTTCTGTGTCCTTGCCTGTTCAACCACTACTTGTTCTGAGTGATTGGAGATACCATATTGTTTCATTAGAAGCCATGATCTAGTCTGAGACACATTTTGTGTTTTATAATCCATTCTGATCTACTTTTTTCAATTGTTATCTTATATTTTGACTTCCCAATTTTTCATTTTAAGATAAAGAATGAATGAGAGAATGCATTTTTTCTTCTGATATTCATTTTCTTAGAGAAAATAAGAAACAAGGATAAGTAAATTAGACTATGTAACAAAATAATGGGACCATATTTTCCTTTCAATTAAAAGGTAGCTTTAAATTTTCTTAAAGAACTATTTGCAATTATGTTATCTAGTTACTATTATACTTGTGTAGTATGTGGATAATCTGTGGTAGAGTAGAAAAAATATTAATCTAGGACAGAGGTGTCAAACATGTGGCCCACCCAAATCAGATTTAAATGTAATTAAGAAATGATTGACAAATGTAATTGAGATATTCATATATATATATATGTATATATATATGTATGTGTGTGTGTGTATATATATATATATATATAAATACAAAAAACATAGATAACACTGATATGTCATTTTCTAAGCCAATATGAACCAAAAGGGATCCTTATGTATGGTTTAGTGGCCTCCTTTTCTTATTTGAGCTTGATATCTCTAGTCTAAGATAATGGAGACTGGATTTGGGTCATAGTTCTGGCACTTAGTAGCTATGTGACCAGTGGGAATTATTTAACCACTGTGAGCCCCAGCTTCCTCATTTTGAAAAAAAGGGTTACTCATTTTTGTGCTGTCCACTTCAGAGAACTGTTGTAGAGGCAAAGTACATTGGAAATTTTAAAAATGAGTTGTAAAAGCAGCCAGTTCACAGGGGAGTCATGTAGTACACCAAAAAGGGCACTCTGGAGTAGGAAGGCCTGGATTTGAATTCTGCCTCCCGGTGATTGTTATCTATGTGAACTTGGCAAATCATTTCATCCCCTTGGGCTTCTGATTCCTCCTCTGTGAAATCACTAGATGGCTTCTAAAGGCCTTCTAGCTCTGATCCGTATCATGCATTTAACTTCTCTACTTCCAAGCTGAATTTGAACAAACTTTATTCCCATTCTGTTATGATAATTTTAAAATCTATTTACTTGAAACTTCAGAAGAGCCAAATAACCAACAGAATCATGTTAAGTTAGTGGCATGTAGCGACATTTGAACTTTGTTAAAAAAAAAAGCCACAGGGTGTTTTAAACAGATTAAGTGATATTCCTGCATGTGAGATGCAGATCACCATATTGGAACATGTTACGTGCACAAAAAAAGCCTCAGCCTTTTCCTTACAGCAAATACTGTTATGGAACCGTTGTAGCCTTTAGGGCTAACACATACAATGAAGCATGATTGCTTACAGACATTTTTTTTGTTGTTGGGACTCAAGAAATACATGGGTCTAAGATAGGCACACACGTCCTTTTTTTAAACCATAATTCTGCCTTTCGTGGAACCTTTGCTAACAGCTAAGGGTTTTAGGAATATTCATCTGCAGACACATAAGGGGAGGTGATGAAGCTAGAGGTGGTAGAAGCTGATTTGGAATTCCTGCTGGAACACCCATTGAAGCTGGTGTCTCTTGAAGCTGCCTTCTTCTTTCGTGTGGATTTAGAGTTGGGGTCATCACTGGGGTCAAACACCACGGTCATGGATTCCATCCTGGACACGGTGTACAAGCTGCTTTGTTGGGTGGGGTGAAACCTGGTGACCTTGAGCTCTAGCTCATCATAAGTGGACACTTCAATGAAAGGACACCAACGGAAGGCCCTCTTGAAACCAGCTCGGAATCTGCAAAGAAGAAAACAAAGAGGGTGAGAGAGACTTATAATAACCCAGTAATTTCATAAAACTCTGATTTTAAAAAAATTCCTGCTTATGACATTCCAACCTTTTAGGAAGTCTGTCGAGGCCTATGCTGGTATCAGCCAATGACATTCTGGGAATTTATGACAAAGCCATGGTTTGAAGTTCCTTTCTTATTTTTAATTTACTTTTTTAAAGCACCAGAAACAAATACATACCGATTCATTTAAGAAAGAAGTAGATATTTTAAAAGAATTCTAACGATGATTTATACATTTTTAGTGTTATTAAAAATCTAAGTTTTAGTGAGTCCCTGTTGAATTTATATATGAATAAAATGAGCTCAAGAAGAAAATGACAAGACAGTATCTTTGTAGTATCCAGTATCTTTGCCAAGAAGACTCCAAATAGGATCACAAAGAGTCAGATATGACTGAAATAAGTGCACAACAAAAAATTAATAAGATACAATTCTTTCTCAAAACCCTTCAATGATTCCCCCTTACCTAAGGGATTCTTAATCTGGGGTCCATGAACTTGTTTTTGAAAATATTTTCATAATGGTTTTTAATACAATTGGTTTGCTTTGTATAATCATAATCTTTATGTATTTTATTTTATGCAATTAAAAACAGTATTCTGAGAAGGGATATAAGCCTTCACCAACTTGCCAAAGGGGTCCATGATATAACATGACATTAAAAAAAATGATCAACCCTTAGACTTAAGGATAAAGTAATAATTACTAGCATTTATATATCATTTTCAGGTTTGCAAAGTGCTTTAGAAATATTAACTCATCTGATCTTTACAACAGCCCTCAGAGTTAGGTGCCATTATTATCCTCATTTTGCAAATGAGGAAACTGAGGCTGAAAGAGGTTAAATGGTTTGTCTAGGTAACATACCTAGTAAGTGTTTTAGACTGGATTTGAGCTCATGTCTTCCTTACTCCAAGCCATATATAGTTCAAGGCAGCTTGTGGCACAGTGAATAGAGCACTGGGCCTGAAATCAGGAAGATCTGAGTTATTCAAGCCTTCTACACTTAATTGCTCTGTGACCTTGGGCATATCACTTAACTTCTGTTTACCTCAATTTCCTCAACTCTATAATGGGGATAATAATAGCACCTATCTCCTAAGGTTGTTATGAGGATCAGATTAGACAACAAAGGTAAAATGCTTGGAAAACTTTAAAACTATGTAAATTCTAGCTACTAATACCGGTATCATTTTTATTATTATTCCTTTTGTATATGTTCTGTAACCATTCCTTAAATAACAAATTCTAGAATAGACATCAAGCTCATTGGCCTATAATTTTGCAGAATCTGTTCTTTTCCCCATTTAAAAAAATCATGACATTTTCCTTTCTCCAATCTTGAGGTACATTTCTTGTTCACCATTACTTTCTAATAATCACTGGGACTGGATCATTGGCTTAGCAATTGCATCTACTAATTTCTGCTGTGCCCTTGGATATAATGTATCTGGTCTTGGTGACTCGGATTTATCTAGCTTTCCTCTTCTTTGAATTGGCCGCTGAGCTTCCTATTAAGCTGTTTTTGTTGTGTCCTTTCCAGTCCAACTATTCTCCATGGCAGAGGAAGCATGTCCAATAACAACTGAACAGCTCTGCCTGCCTTCTGTCATGAGTGATCATCACTGTACCCACCTGAGCTGTAGCCCTTTCCTCTTTCCTCCAACCCTTCCCCTCCTCCTCTTGTTATCTTTTCAATGTCCTTGCCAGTCTCAGTTCATTTTGAACTTTAGCACTCTTGACACTATTCTTACAAGGGTCATGTCAAGTTTTTGTACTCATCTTCTTTTACCCTTTCCTGCTTTCATCTCCCATATGGCTCAAAAAAATTTCCTAATTTAGTTGGCGATTTCCGTGTGCATTCACTGGATCTTTAGAATAGGTATATACTCATTGAAGACAGGAGCATTTTCCTTTTTTTTTTTCTCCAGCCCATAGCACAGTGACTGGCATAGTAGGCATTTAAATGTTCATTGATTGATTCAGAATTTCATTCTTGAGATTTTCCTTGGCTGAATGTGCCTATAGAATTTTAGTCCATGGGATCTTACCTATTTTTTCCCCAACAGTCTTTGAAATTTGCTTTCCAAAAATCTAGTTCTGTACATCTATTTTAAATTTTCTTCTTCTCTGTGACATTTCAAAATGGAATGGTTGATTTTACCCAAGGATCCTGTTCTACCCTAGAAACAATTTCCTCTTCTTCAGTGGGAATTAGATCTTGAAAAAGACTTCCCTTTATTGATTCCTCCACCTTTTGAAGAAAGGAACCATCATTAAGACAAGAAATTATTAGCAACTCTGCTTTTGGCAGTCAGTGAGGTCCAGCAGATGTATGGATAATTGAAGTCTCCTATCATTATTCCCTGGTCTTCACATCAGGCTTGTGATCTCTTTTCTGAGGCCCTCTTCTAATCTCCCCTTTTTTGTTGTTCTTATAGTCAGTAATATACTCCAATAATAATTTCCATCTTGTTTTAACTCTGTTGATCTCCCCTCTGAATGCTCTCTGTACTCAATAAATATTTGTTGAAAGAATAAATTCTAACTGTAAATTGTCAACAAAGAAAATCAGTCCTTTCACTGGATTTCACTTAGTTTTGGTTCCTGGATTTCATCACATGAGTATGTTTTCTTAATATGAAATTACTTTGCCTTCCTTGTTATCTATCCTGTGTCTTTTGAATAGGACGCTAGATATGTGTTCTAGGTACAGACCTCAAATAACTATATTTCAGTAATACTAATGAGGCCAAATTTGAAGAGTTGCATAAGGATCATTACTTCAGCTTTTTTGTTTTGCTTTGTTTTGTTTTTTAAACCATACTTTGGCCAAATGTGCAGTCACCTAAGGCTGTGGATTTTATTACTGACTCCTTTCTTCAATGTTGTAACATTTGGCTGTTAATTTTAATCCCTACATCATAGCTGCTCTCAATCATGTCTAGCTGGGTGGATATAGGTAGGCAATTTTCTGTCCTCAACTCTTTTCCAGGTTATAGCCCTTTTGATTAGATTTGCAAGACTCCAGGCAAATATAAACTCCAGGCAAGTATAACAAGAGTGGCTTATAGAATTACATACTTAAAATCCCATAACCTCTATATTCTAGAGTGTATAAGGCTATAATTCTACTAAGGTAATCAACCAGTCCTAGAATACTGTCGGTAAGTGTAGAAGTTGGATAGAATAAATCAGTATTGGGATAAATGTTTACTGCTTTTGCTGAAGTCACCATTACCATTTTATTGTAAACTTCTTTGCATTTTATTCACCAGCCCAGGATGACCAGTTAGTTGGGTTAGAGAAGAAAGAAAATAAGCACTTACTATGTGCCAGGCATTGGGCTATGTGTTTTACAAACAGTATCTCATTCGATCCTTATGAATCTATTGGGTATAGGTGCTCTTATTGTCTTCATTTTATAGTTTGAGGAAACTGAGGCAAACTCAGTGACTTGACCAGGGTTTTCCTGACTCCAGGCCCAACATTCTATTCACTGTACCATCTAGGTACTTAGGTGAGAGGGGGCTTTCTTGGTGTATAATGTGTCTCTAATGAGGGTGCTACTTCTGCCAATGTACCTGTAAGTCAACGGAGTATAGTGGAAAGAGTTCTGGATCAAGATTCAGAAGAAATGGGTTTGAATCCTACTTCTGCTACTTACTCCCTGTGTGACTTTGGCCAAGTCACTTACCCTCTCTATGCCTCAGTTTCCTTACCTTTAAAATAAGAGGGCGGAAGTAGATGATTTCTGAGCTCCCTTCTGGTTCCAAGGCAAGGGTCCTATGATCCTATGAACATTTCCTACTTATCTGAAGGTAGGGAATATGTCTGCACTTTTTGTCTTCCCGATCGTGGCACATGGTGCACACTCAATCAATATTTGTTGAAGGAATAAATTCCAAATGCAAATTGAGTGACAAAAAGCCATTCAGTTTTTGAGATTAATTTTGCAAAATGATTAGATCCGACCTGTGCTGTTTCCTCCTATCTACTCATCTGTGATGAGTACTTCTAACTCTTTCTATTTTACTGGATCATGGAAGGTAAATAGCTACCGGCTGTAAACACATTTATATTTTTCTCACAATCACAGATTCCTAAGAAAACTATTCCTAAGAAAAGCTATTTCTGAGTAGCTAGGTTTTAATCTATACCTTAGAAAGGTACAAATGCAGTTCTTTCCTCTGAAAAAGCTTATGATAGAAAAGGGCAGTGCAATAAATTTAATTTCTTTAAATTTTTTTGATTAAAAAATAAATTTCAAAGTCTAGATTTGATTCGATTTCATCACCTTATAGAAACAATAAAGATGGAATATATAAAAGGATATAATAACAATTAACATTTCTATAGTGCTTTAAAATTACAAAGTGCTTTGCATTCATTATCTCATTTGATTCTCTCAACTACTCTATGAGGTAGGTCCTAATATAAAAGCTAATGCGTGATTATTTTCATGGCCTTTGGAAACCCATCCAATTAGATTTTTGTTGTTCAGTTGTTTCATGTCCCCATTTGGGGTTTTCTTGGCAAAGATACTGGAGTGGTTTGCCATTTCCTTCAGCTCATTTTATAAATGATGAAACTGAGGCAAATAGACTTAAGTGACTTGCCCAGGGTCACACAGCTAGTAAGTGTCTGAGACTGGATTTGAACTCAGGTCTTTTTGACTCTAGGCCTGGTGCTCTATCTACTGTACCACCTAACTTACCCCCAATTAGATTATAAACTCCTTAAGAAAAACCACTGTGTTGTTTTTTGTCTTTGAGTTCCTAGTGCTTAGTACTCTTTCTTTCAAGTAACAGACACATATTAAATAGGAAATTCAAGATGTATTATCTATTGGCTACTCAAGTGAGAACACAGGATATAGGGAATCAATGAATATTTCAAATAGAGGTTAACATATTTAAGGGTCATAGTGGATGGTAGGCTGAAAATAACAACTAGGCCACCTTCCCATGCATTTCTTTTCATTAGTTCCCTTGATATTCTGGACTATTTGTTCTTCTAGATAAATTTTGTTATTTTTTTTCAGCTCTATAAAATAATTTTTGGTAGTTTGGTATGACGCTGAATAAGTAAATTAATGTAGGTAGAATTGTCATTTTTAGTATATTATCTTGGCTTACCCATGAGCAACTGATGTTTTTCCAGTTATTTAGATCTGACTTTATTTGTGTGAAAAGTAATTTGTAATGGTGTTTGTATAGTTCCTGGTTTTGTTTTGGCAGGTGGACTCCCAAATATTTTATAATATCTATAGTAATTTTAAATGGAATTTCTCTATCTCTTGCTGCTGGGCTTTGTTAGTAATATATAGATGTGCCAATGATTTGTGTGGGTTTATTTTATATCCTGTAACTTTGCTAAAGTTGTTTATTATTTCAAGTAATTTTTTACTTGATTCTCTAGGATTCTCTAAATGTACCATCATAGCATCTGCAAAGAGTGATAGCTTTGTTTCTTCTTTGCCTATTCTAATGCCTTCAATTTCTTTTCTTCTCTAATTGCTACAGCTAACATTTCTAGAACAATATTGAATAACAGTGGTAATAATGAATATCCTTGTTTCAACCCCAGTTTTATTGGAAATACTCCTAGCTTATCCCCATTACATATAATGCTTTCTTACCAAAGACAGTGTGCAATCTGATACAGGTTCTACTCATACATTCATATTAAGCATAGTTTCCCATTAGTCATGAAGTAAAGAACAATTAGAAATAATGGGAGGAACCATGAGAATGAAGCAATAAAACAAAACAAAAAAGGAAAAGAGAGAGCAAAGAGGATGATTCAATTTGCATTCAGATTCTATAGTTCTTTCTCTGTATGCGGATAGCAGTTTCCGTCATGAGTCTTTTGGAGTTGTCTCAGATTCTTGCATTGCTGTGAAGAGCCAAGTCTATCAAAGTCAGTCATTACACAATGTGGCTGTTACTGTATACAATGTTCTCCTGGTTCTGCTCATTTCACTCAGCATCAGTTCGTGTAAGTCCAGGTTTTTTTTTTTGAAGTCTGTCTGCTCATCATTTCTTATAGCGCAATAGTATTCCGTTACATTCATATACCACAACTTGTTCAGCCATTCCCCAATAGATGGGCATGCCCTCAATTTCCAATTCTTTGCCACCACAAAAAGAGCTGCTATAAATATTTTTGTACACGTGGGTCCTTTTCTCATTTTTACCATCTTTTTGGGATACAAACCTAGAAGTGATATTACTGGGTCAAAAGGTATGCATGATTTTATAGCCCTTTGGGCATAGCTCCAAATTCTCTCCAAAATGTTTGGATCATTTCACAACTCCACCAACAATGCATTAGTGTTCCAATTTTCCCACATCTTTTCCAACATTTATCATTGACTTATTTTGTCACATTAGCCAATCTGATTGGTGTGATGTGTACTTCAGGGTTGTTTTGATTTGCATTTCTCTAACCAACAGTGATTTAAAGCATTTTTTCCATTTGACTATAGATAGCTTTAGTTTCTTCCTCTGAAAACTGCCTATTCATATCCTTTGACCCTTTACCAGTTGGGGAATGACTTGTATTCTTATGAATTTGACTCAGTTCTCTATATATTTTAGAAATGAAGCCTTTATCAGAGACACTGATTGTAAAACTTCTTTCCCAGCTTTCTGCTTCCCTCCTAATGGATGCATTGACTTTGTTTGTGCAAAAAATTTTCAATTTAATATAAGCAAAATTATCCATTTTGCATTTCATAATGTTCTCTATTTTTTGTTTGGTCATAAATTCTTTCCTGCTCCATAGATCTGAAAGGTTAACTATTCCTTGCTCTTCTAGTTTGCTTATAGTTTCAGCCTTTATATCTAAATCCTGTACCCATTTTGACTTTATCTTGGCATAGGAGGTAAGATGTTGGTCTATGCCCAGTTTCTGCCATACATTATTTCAAGTTTTCCCAGCAGTTTTTGTTAAATAGTGATTTCTTTTTCCAGAAGCTGGAGTCTTTGGATTTATCAAATAGTAGATTAGTATAGTCATTGACTATTGTGTCTTGCATACCTAACCTATTCCACTGATCTACCACACTCTATTTCTTAGCCAGTCCCAAGTAATTTTGATGATTGCTGCTTTACAATGCAATTCAAGATCTGGTACATTTTGACCTCCTTCCAATGAGCCCACTCCTAGCTTTCCCTCTTCTGCACCATTTGTTGGCATCTTAGGGAGATTGTAACTCTGAATTGGGCAACCACAACAACAGATGGGTAGGTGCCACTAGGAAAATCACCCCATCCCAGCACCCTAACCCATTCCAGCATCATGGATCACCTCATGGCTGAAGTAGGGGTCCTTCTGAGGGCAATTTCTAAACTTTGGCAGGAGCTGATGATTAAGAATTCTGCCTCTCACATTTTCCTTCTGAGTGAGACATAGTTTCACAGAATGAACAAGCATGGATGACTATTACAGTAGCTTCCAAAATGATCTCCCTTTTTCGCCGGTCTTTCTCCAATACAATCCATCCTTCACACAACACCAAAGAGATTTTCTCAAAGCACAGGGATGTCTGTGTCCATCCCTTACTCAGCAAACTCCAAATAGCCCCCCTTTGGATATAATAGGATTTCTTTATCCTATCCCTTTAAAATCTCTATTTTGTGTAAGTTTTATAAAGTGCATAATTATTAGCACAGTAGTATATGCATAAAATTTATAAGTAAATACAAATATGTTAGAGACACATACTTAATTTTTTTCCCCAAAGGGTATGATCAAAAAAGTTTGCAGACTGCTAGTCTAGAGATTTGTCTGCAATGGCTCAGACAAAGAGGCATGTCTTTAGTGACCTCTTCCTTCAAAGGCTCAGGTTCCAAGATTCAATAGGCAGGTTCCATTCAAAGCATGCTTCTTTGTGGTTATTTCAAAAAATAAAAAAAATACTTTATTTTTTTTCTTCTGTGAAAGCTTTACTACCTTTGAATTAATGTTGGTTAGTTTCTGAGAAGGAACTAGAATTTCATATAAAGTTATCCAACAGGCTTTAGTTTCTGTAAGGAAAAATCTTTTAAAAATTCATTTAACATTTTCTTCTCAGCTTATTTTAAAATATGCAAACAGCTTATCATAAACAACATGGTTTATTTGAATAGAAGAAAAGAAGAGATGCTAGAAGTGAGATTCAAAATGAACAACTTGGCAGAAGTATATATAATAGGGGCCATTCAGTAAGTCAGGCCTGCCAAAGAAGAAAAAATTGTAGGTAATGGTGCCAACAGAAACAACTTTCTAATTTATTTTGAGATGTATTCCAAATTTGACTGTGATTTCACTATAACACTCTTAATTTAAACAAAAAAATATTTCCCAAATCATAACTGGAGTTAGGAGGACTCCTGGAGGGTGGGGTGGGGAATGAGTGAGCAAAGCTAAAGAAGAAAGAGAATTCACTATTACTCCTCTAATTGGTAATGAATGTCATTTTGTGTATAAAAGTATTAATTCAGCTCCTAAAAAATTATACACATAGTCCTTTGGCTGACAAAATTTCTACTGAAGACCAAATTATGGACCAAATTATGAAGACCAGGTGAAGCAGAAACTAAAGACAGTCAGTCACTTCGTATCTATTTTATGTATACCTGTGTGTATGTGCTGTCTCTCCTCCTTGACTATAAACACCATGAGAGCAGGGACTATTTTCATTTTCATCTTTGTATTCCCAATGACTAGCACAAGATAAGTACGTGCTTAATAAATGCTTGTTGGACTGATTACAATGGGATTCTTAAAACAACGTATTTCCTTCTATTGCCAAAATGGTAAGAAGTTTTACAAGCATCTGCAAGTAGCCCTTTACTCCTCTTTTCCCTCCTATTGTAAATTTACATCATGATTGAAGACCTCAATGTATTTGCACATAAAATTTATAATGAAGTTATAGTCATACATTTGTTCATGTCACCCTTACCTTTTATTGAGACAGCAGTAGATAATTGGATTGTACATGGTGGAACTCATGGCCAGCCAAAAAATGGCCAGGTAGATTTGCTGGATGTATTTCCATCGATTCAAGTGCTGGTATATTCCAGTAATGATGAAGTATATGTGATAGGGAAGCCAACAGATGGCAAATGTCACTACAACAATAATCATCATTTTTACCACCTACAAAAGAGAGAGATTTTATATATATATATAAGCATGTATAAATCTTACTTAAATCCACAACTCTCCATCAGGAAATTTCTAAGGAATTTTCATCCAAGTCATCAGACAGGTACATAACATTTTCACAGACTTACTCCTTTTAAGTTGTCACTTTTATACATAATATACATTCAGTAAATAGTTGAAGAATTTAAATGAATATCAAATTTTAATAACTGATATCATGCACATCAATGACATACAGAATATTTTTTCCTAAAAGCAAATTGAAGCTTCTCCCGACTTCAATACCACACCTCAGCTGCAGTCTTACCCTAGAAGATCCCTCTACCATGCTGGCTTCCTTCCCCCATTGATGAGTTCCACCCAGGGGCCTCCATATTGGAGGAGGGTCCCAGGCTGGCCAACCTTCATTCCTCTCTCAGCTGTACTTCTGATTTTCTGAACTGTCTCTTATTGTAGAGTTGGGGAAACTGAGGCCCAGGGAAATTAAGCAATTTACACAAGGTCACACAGGTAGTAAGCGACTTTGTGTGTGGTGATTGCTCATGGTCACATAGGCAGGATTTGGACTCAAGGTCATGTGACTCTAGAGCTAGTGCTCTTTCCACTGCATCCCCTTAATATCAATTAACATACCTCTTGTTTATTAAATAAGAGGAACAAGGTTAATTTATTTTTTCTTTGAAAATCTGAAAATACTAGAATATCTGAGTATTTATTATGTGTAGAGTCAAATGAATTTGAAAATTACTTGAAATTAGTCTACAATCCAAGTCAATAGAGGTCTTGACTTAGAAACGGTTTGAAGATGGGAAGGATTCGTGGTGGGACTTGGAAGTCCACAAATAAATTATTCACTTAGTGAACTTGTCCCTTGATTTTAAGGTGGAGATTCAGATGATGCTGATAGAGGTTAGAGTCATAGGAGGCATGATTCTAGAGACAGACAACTAGAGCACAAAAGAAAATCAAGTTGAAGGCAGGGCATCCCTAAGGGTTTGATCTCTCCACTAAGCAGGTGACTCACATTGAACTGATGGAGATTTGACCATTGGAGTTGAAAATTCAGGTCAACAGCGTATGGAATGTTAACAGCAGCCACAAGGAAGGATTTTGTGTTTCACTGTAGACCTGTTTTAGAGGTGGGGAGGTTTCACCTAAGTTTTCTGTACATATTAAACCTTTCTAGTTCATGCTCTCAAATGTTTGTGCCTGTCTTTGTTATCATATTAATGGCTCACATTCCCTTATGGTTTCCATGAATGCTATATTTCATATTTATAACTGCTCTGGCTGATCTTTTGAGTCAATTAATCATTTAAATGTTGTGCACTCTGAGCATCTCCCAGCCAAGGATCTATCTTGTTTATTCTATAAGAAGGAGGAGGCAGGAGAGGCCCTAGGATGTCCAATGAAACACAAATGCTTCTGTTTGTCATTTAAATCCTTTCACAATCTTCCAGGCTTACTACATGCTACGCTCCTACTTACAATAGATATTTTTATTAAAACTTGCCTATGAACACTCCATTTCTCCTCTCCATGTCTTTGTATAGATTATAGTGCCTAAAATACATTCCTTCCTCACCATTCTTTCCAGCTTCTTTGAAGGTTCAATTCAAATGTTACTTTTAATGTGAGGTAGACCCTGATGATCCTAGTTACTAGTGCCCCAAATAACTTTCTATTTACTTACTTATTTATTTTTTAATTAATTTTTTAATATTTATATATAAATACAGATTATATAAATATATATAAAATATATTCATATTTTTAATTATATTTATATTTTATTTACCTATATTTGTTTACATATATTTTACAACTATTTATATTTATATATTTATTTGCTTATTTTAAATCATGTCCCCTTCCACTGTCTCTCCCCCAACAAAGGACAGGGAAGGTTTCATTTTTATATCTATATCCTTAGCACAAAGTACTTAGTAAGTGCCCATTAATAAATACTTGTTTAATGCTGAAGGAATTTTGTTTATACATAAGAAAATGTAGGCACATGTCAAAATCATTGAAAAAACAGAATTGGGGTGAGGGGGATAGAAACAAAAATTATACTAGAAGGCTATTGAACTCAGACTAAATGTAATGCCCAGTCTCATCCATGTTATTTATACCCCACTTTCCTAATGGAATGCATCCTCCTTGAGGATGGTGACCATTCCTGCACCTCAATTTCTTTATCTGTAAAATGGGAATGAGAATAGTAGTGCACCTTACCTCACAGTGTTGTTATAAAGATCACATATAGGGGCAGCTAGGTGGTGCAGTAGATAGAGCACCAGCCCTGGATTCAGACGAACCTGAGTTCAAATATGGCCTCAGATACATAACACTTACAAGCTGTGTGACCTTGAGCAAGTCAATTAACCCCCATTGCCCAACCAAAAAAACCCCAAAACCAAAACAACAACAATAACAGCAAAAAAGATCACGTGCTAAGTAGGTCATAAAGTACTAACAAATGGACACAATCATTTGATATTCAGCATGGTTGCAATGTGTCTACAGCCCTAATACTTTAGCATTTCTAGGCAAGTTACTGACAAAACTGAAGTTAGCATCAAGTAAGGGAGGCCAATTATTCCCCAGGAGTCTTCAACCCAATGCCATCCCAATATCCCCATTTCTCCCTTCCCTCCCATTAACAGATTGGCTTTCAGACAACACCTTTGTAGTAATGGAGCAGAGTCTCAAACCAATCCCACATCCGTTGCAGCCATAGCTGTCTCTGGAAGGTCTCATCCCACATTCTACCTTCACCCAAACACTTATTCTTTGTCATACAGGGAAGTGGAACTGAGCTCCAGGAACCAAGTCACAACACTCCAGACACCTAGGTGAACACTCAGGGATACAACTGCTATCATGTTGTATGGTAATAGTCTCTCATTTTGTTCTTCCAGTCCTGGGCACAGAGCTTATCTATTGCTTTGGCAGTAAAGTGGGGGCAGCTGTAGAGGGGAAGTGTCAGAAGAAATGCCAGGTCTATAAAAGGGATGGACCTATTTCAGAGCTTTGTAACACACTCCGACACACACACAAGCAGGAATAATTTACAGGTCATATCCTGGCTAGAATAAGCTGGAGGCACCTTTTGCTGGAGAAGCAGGAAAAACCTTTGACTCTGACTCCTAGACAGGTCAGGCTACAATGCTTGCAGTGGTTCCTATCTATCACTTTGAATTAATGTGGGTGATTGCTCCAAGTTTGGGTCAAATAAAATAGGCCAGAGAGATTAAGTAAAATGCGATAGCTAAATCAGAGAAGACAAGGGGTGCATTCTTCCTTTAGAGATCCTAGACCTGCATGAGGGGGCTCTTGGGAATTATTTTCAGTTTCAGTTTTCTGATCACTGGGGTGGGGACAGTTATCAGTTTCAATATGGGCATAATGGCAGGTGGCATTGAGTCCTGGTTGGCTCCTTCTCCCCCTAAACAGCAAAGAACCTAGTGCTTAGACCAATATGACCTCCTTGGAGCCTGATAATCATAAATAATATGAGACTAGGAAAACTGGGCATCTTCCAAGAGATAGCACTTCCGGCAACAGTATGGTACTGCAAAACACAGCACAGACATTGGAGCCAGGGTTGAAATCCTAGCTCTGCTGCTTACTTCCTGGCACGTTAGTCTCCCAGGGCCTCAGATGCCTCATCTGCATTATGGGTCTCTGAGGTTCTCTAGCTCTATGATCCTGTGACCTCAAGGACCCATCAGATATCTGGGTGTATAAAGTATCTGAGGCTTATTTCATGCCTAAATAGTACTATAACAAACCTTTATTCGGGCCATCCCCCTCATCCTCTTTCCTCAAGAACTTGGGCACTTGGGTGAACTTTGCCTTTTTTTCTTCCTTTGGCCAAGAACCATGCCTCCACATGCATCCTGCAGCTTCCATATCATGTTGCCACATATGTACCACACCCCTTTCCCTCTCCACTTTTTATGTTATCTTCCCCTGTTAGAACATAAGCTCTTGGAGGGCAGAGACTTTGCTTGCTTTTATTTGTGCCCCCAGCTCTTAGTAAAGTGCGTGGTACATGCTAACTAGTTAATATTTGCTCTATTGTTCATTCACTCATCATTCATTCATGGTATATAATGTCTTTGACCAGAGAGGCTTTGCACAGAGAAGGAATGGCCAAATATGTTGGAGGGCAACAAGAAAAGGATGCTATTACAGAAGCCCAGGAGAGTTTCAAAAAGAAGATGCTGGCCAGCAGCTTCTAATGCAGGCGAGTCAGGGAGGATGGAACTGAAGAAGAGACATTCTGAAATCAGGAAGCTGACCCTGCAGAGTGGTGATACATTTTAAGGATACATTAAAGGATACATTTTAAGGAAATGAAGAGTGAATATTAACTGGTGACTTAAAAGAGAGAGAGAAAGAGAGAGAGAGAGAGAGACAGAGACAGAGACAGAGAGAGACAGAGAGAGACATAAAGAGATAGAGAGACAGACAGAGACAGAGAGACAGAGTGATACACAAAGAGAGAGACAGAGACACACACACAGACACAGAAACAGAACCAAAGACAGACAGAGACACACAGAGACAGAGAGGAGACACAGAAAGAGACAGAAACAGAAAGAGACAGAGACAGAGAGACAGAGTGACACACAGAGAGAGGCAGAAAGACAGACAGAGAGAGAGAGAGAGAGAGAGAGAGAGAGAGAGAGAGAGCCAGAGACAAAGAGAGAAACACACAGACAGACACAGAGAGAGAGATGGAGAGACTGAGAGAGACAGATGGAGGTAGAGAGGTAGGAGAAATGGAGTAAGAAAGAGACAGACTGACAGAGAGATCAAGAGACAGAGAGATAGAAAGAGAAAGGGTGCAATTGAAGGAACAAAGTTCCAGGGAATGGAATAAAAGGCACAGTGACAGGGGATTAGCTTAGTTAAAAATGAAAGACAACTCTTCCAGAAAGAAGAAAGAAAAATACATTAAGATACAGAGAAAATTTGAA